GACCAGAGAGGGTGGAGGGTCCCTGGGGCCGGTGGAGCCAGCTCCCGTGGAAGGGGCACACCTGCTGGGCACAGCCCTGAGGGCTCCCTCTCTGGGGGCCTCTGGGACGCCCACAGGGGTCCCTGGGTCCTCCTGGGTCCAGCCTAGGCCTGGCCCCGTGTCCTGCCGGGGAGGACAGGTCTTGGGTGCCCCTGCTCTCCCACACCCCTAGGCTGCCCGGAGTCAGGGAGGGCTCCGAGGGAGCCTCCCACCCCACTCACCAGTCTTGCCAGAAAAGGGAAGAAAACAGCAAGTTACAAGAGAAGAAAAATTGGGGGAAAAATAGAAAATCTTAAATATAAAAAAGGAAACTGCAAGAGGGAACCCCCCGTGCTAATGAAAGCGTGTGCCCAGGAGCTGCAGGGAAGGCCTGTGCACCCCGGTATCGGGGCCCCGTCCAGGGGGGGCTTGGCCCCCAGAGCTGCTCCCTGTGGCTGCCAGCAGTCACCGCAGGCTGCTTGGGACATCCAAGGCTTGTTAAAAATCAAAAAAAGCAAAACAAGAATTGGGAGGGAATAATCAAACCCAAGGGAGATGGAGAAAAATCCATATTGCCTCCAAACCTCCTCCCTCCTTACTCAACGCGAAACGTTTTCATCTTTGATGCTGGGTGCCAAGCTAGCTGGAACCAACACTGACCCCAACTGGGGCCGGGGGCGGGTGGGCTCAGGAGGAGGGTGAACACTGGAAGACATCTGGGTTCGGAGTGAGCTGGGCTGTATGTGTCGCCAGCTGGCCGTACACAAACACACACACAGACACGCGGCCCGTCGGGGGTGGGCCCCCGCCCCGTCTTGCCCTCTGCACCCCACAGCCCTTGGGATTCCCCAGGAGCCCTGAGGAGTCCAGGAGGGGTTTGGTGAGAAGCAGCAGGTGGCCTTCCTATTGAGGAGCAAGGAGCCATGTGGCCTTGGGGGGTCTGGGGGAGGGACATAGGGGCGTGGTGCGGGCACACCCAGGAAGGGAAGGGAGGCCGCACTTGCAGAAACAGCCCTCTGGCCTTTGGGCCTCTGCTGGGCCGCAGGAGGTGGCCCTGGGTTGGTTTCTTGGGTCTTCCTGGTGGTGGGAATGGAGGGGCCTTAACGTGACTTTGGTTATGGGACTCAGAAAACAGGTCGGGTACATTAGGACGTTTCCCAGAGGAGCAGATGGTCAGCCTTGCGTCCCCTCAAATGAGAGAGGGCGCAGAGGGGCAAGCCCTCCTCTACCTACAGGCCCTGGGCCTTCCAAAGTCACCAGAACTAGGCACTGGTCAGAGGTCTCAGCCTCTCTCCTGAGAGCTCTGCCCACCCACCCTGCGGCAGCGCCATGCCCAGCTTGTGAGGACTGGCACCAGGGACCAGGCGGGTCCCCAGCTCCTTACCATGGTTCCGATGCTGTAGGTGGCCGCGGGGCCGATGGTGTGGTGGTAGGGGTCGGCGGCTGCGTACACTCTGCCGTAACTGGGGAAGAGTGCGGGAGGGGCAGGTGAGGGGTGGCACCAGGCCTCCCACCTCCACCCAGACCTCCCATCCTTCAGCGGGGTCCCTACCTGCAAGGCCCCCCAACCCCACATGGCCCATCCTTCCTGCCTGTTTGGAAGGACGTTTCTGGAACACACAGGCCACCCTTTCAACTCCTCCAGCAGGTGCCAACCCTGATGATGGGTAACATGCTCTACTCAGAGCATCACGGAAGGGAAGAGGGGTCCTCACAGGCTTATCTGGAGGGAGGATGAACCCCAATACCCAGAAAGAACAGGGCAAAGGGCTGGGAAGAGTTTCTAGACAAGAGGGGAAAACCCCATGGGGGGACCAGGGATGCTGCCGCAAGGAGCTGGCACTGCCCTCCGATGACCTTCCTGTCACACTCATTCCCTCATGTATTTATAGAGACAGGGTCTTGCTCTGTCACCAAGGCTGGAGTGCAGTGGCCCAATCACAGCTCACTGCAGCCTGGAACTCCTGGGCTCAAGTGATTCTCCGGCCTTGGCCTCCCAAAGCGCTGGGATTACAGGCATGAGCCACTGCACCTGGCCTCACCTAATTTATTTGTGCAGGGAAATCTTAGCTTCTTAGAGGACAGGGCACGCCTGCAAGGAGCTGGAGCTAGAGGCTGCAGGAAGGGTGTGGAGGGAGAGAGGGCCAGGCGGTCCCCAGGCCAGAGGGGGCTCTGCAGACACAAGCAGCAGCTTCCCTTGATGAAATACCCACCGCACACCTGACACAGAGACTTGCACAAACAGGAACTCTACTGCCAACAGGCCGAATGCCCAAGGGGAAAGGCATAGACTAGGTCGTCCCCTGGGGCACAGCCGAGCACCCGCACACCCCACCCCCAAACAAAGAGAGCCACCCACCACCTGGGTGAGCTCACGTGGCCCACATCGCCAGCCCAGCCCCATTCCCTCCAAAGGAGGAGGGAGGTGGGCACACTGTGCCCTTCCTTCTCTGAGCTCGAGGGTTTCGGCCCCGGCAGCACTGGCAAGGAGCAGATGTGTGTCCCGGGCAGAAGCTACAGCTCTCGATCAGCACCTGGGGCCTCCGGAGCTGGCGGAGGGGGTGTCACACCTCCAGGGTTGGGAATCAGAGATGCTGTCTGCTCCCTGAGACCTAGCGTTTCCACGGCCTCCCCAGCTGCACAGGCGGAAGTGACTTTTAGGTCAGGGGCTCATTAGCTCGAGAGTGTCCAAACCACACTTGGACCTGCCCTCCTGCCCTGACCCTGCACCCAGCAGGTGCAGACACCTCCAGGCCCTGAATGGTGGGTAAAGCTTTCTGTCTGTCTGGGCCCAGCCCTAGGGGGACCCCCTTCCATCTCTCCCATCCTGCCCCAGAACGAGCTCCCTGCCCCAGCCTTACCTGTCGCTGTAGGCTGCTGCTGCTGCGGCCGGCTGGGCGTATCTGTAGGCTGCATAGCCTCCCTGCAGGGCAAGTGGGAGGAGAGATGGCAGACGGACTTAGGGGGGCTCACCCCAGGAAAGGCCGGCGGGGGAGAGATGGGGCTGACACAGACCCTGCGGCTGGGCCCTTTGGGGGGACTACAGACATTCCCAGCCTCCTAGCCTCTCAGCTTTCACCTTGGCCTGGAGAGGGTTAGGTGAAGCCTGGTCTAATGGAAGTCTGAGAAGTGCAGGTGGTCGTGTGGCAGGGTTCAAGGTGAGGCAGGGCTGTCTGTTCATTCATTCATTCACACAGCCATTTATACATTCAGCACACACCAGTGGGTGTCAATTATACATCTGGCTGTACGCTAGGCCTTGGCACATAGTAGGTGCCCACAGATGTGCTCCAGGCCAGTGACCCCTGACTTGGATGCTGATGGGCTTGGGAGCCCCTGGGTGACTCTGGGTCTTATCCTGGACGCTAGGAAGGTCGAGGGCAAAGGGCCCAAGACGGCGTCAACTCGGGTGACGTCTTGGCCGTAGATGAGTGGGTAGCTGAATTGTGGGCAACTGCAGGACCAAGAGTGGCTGGGCGCATGGGGTGGGGATGCCAGCGAGGCTTCGAGCCAGGGGGAGCAGTAAGAGCAGCTCTGTGAAGGGAGAGAGGAGTGACGGGGCCAGGACATGGGGCAGGGCTAGGCCCAGGAGCACAGGTGTGGTGGACCCCTGCCTGCTGGTCTCTCTCGGGTCCTCTGTATGGACATGGTGCCCTCAGGTGCTCACTCGCCCACCCCAGCACGGTCAGGGATGTGGGAGGGTCGCTGTCTGCCCCATTAGACGACACCTCGCTAACGGAGAGATGCCAGCAGCTTATAGGCCTGCTGGGAGATCCCTTGGCAGCTCCCGTGATGAGCACAGCCCACCCAGACCGGGCCGTGCTGGGACCCCAAGGACGCAGTACTCTGGGCAGACCTGGCGCCCTTGCCCTCCTGAGTTCTAGCACGGGAGGGTGGCAGAGTAGGTGGTGAGAGGGGAAAATGCTGACTTCTCACTGAGACAAACAGAACACCTGATCCACCCCCCACCCGGGCTGCACTTACATAAATCTCAGCACCATAAAATCCATCCTGATACACGACCCTGGAAGCAAACGGACAAGAAAGTGGTGGGAACGCTGGAGAGGTGGGGTAGGCCGGCTCCGGTGTCTGCTGAGGAGGGAGGGGGCACGGTGCCAGCCCGGCCCACGGGACTGGCATTTTAACAAGCGTTTGCTCCAGTGCCCTGTTTTGGTATAACAATAGAGTAACACCCTTGCTGGTCAGTTCCTCTCTCCCACAAACCCAGGGGCCCAGCGGCTCAGCCCTGCCCTCCCCCAGGTAGCTGTCGCCCGCGTCAGTGGGGGGGGGACACTGGACCCCAGGGAAGGAGACCAGAGAGGGCTTAGCCCAAGGGCCAACGATGCCCCCATCAAGGAATCCAGACCACGTGCAGGGGGCTCCCAACGTTCCCCTAAATGCCAGTGATCTCAGGGATGCTCCGGCTGTGGTGGGGGTGGGGGGAGGGACGACGGAGGCAGCTGCAGTGCTGAGTGCTGGGGTCCCCCGGGCCCCCCAGTGTGGAAAGGCTGCCCAGCCCCTCGTGCTGCTCAGGGGTTCCCTCCCGCCTCCTCCCCGGCCTTTCTCCGAGCCGCCCCCCCCATCGCGCCCCGCAGGTACTCACGCTCCGTAAGTCGGGATGGGGGGCGGGGGCGGTGCGGCCCGAAAGGTGTTATACACGGCCCGGCCCCGGCCGCGTAGGTGCGCGCCCCGGTAGGCAACGGCTGTGCCCGTGGTGGGGTAGGGGAACCCCGTCACTGCGGGAGAGGGGGCCCGGGGCAGGAGTGAGCGGGAAGGCAGAGGGAGGGCAGGAGCCGGCGGGGGAGGGGCCGGGCCGGCAGCCCCACCTGGCCCCGCCCACCTGGCCCCTCCCCCAGCCTACCACCCTCAGGCTCCTCCTCTCGCCCCGCCCCTCAGTCCCCACGCGGCCAGCCCTCCCCCTTGTCCCCCTCCCCTGCTCTACCTGCATAGAATTCAGGCCCGTAGACTGCGCCGACCACGGGGTTTAGCTTCCAGCCTAGAAGGGAAGCAGAGACCCGGTCACCCGCTTCCCCATCCTTTCCCCATCTCGCCCTACGCCTGGGAACCCCAGCGACACTGGCAGAGCCCCTGGGGACGTCTGGGCAGTGCCCTCTGCAGTGGGCGGGCGCAGGGGGCCAGACGCGACCCGGCCCAGCCACGCTCTGGCTCCCTCTGCGGCACGAACACAAGGGTTCGGTTCACTCACGACCCATCCGCCTGGGTCTCCTCTTGGATTTGTTCCAAATTGTGGAGCCCCCAGCCTGCTCCTGGAGTTCCCTCGCCCCAGGGCATCAGCCCCAGAAGCTTGGGGTGCCCAATCTCCGCAGAAGAGCATTAGGAAGGAAGGTGGAACATGTTATGTGACCGTCTGCGGCCACAGCTGAGATGAGGGACTCTCTCTCTGGCCTCCATGGCCTTAGCACAGCCCATCGTGGGAGTTCTGTCCTGGGGGCGGTCAGAGGCTGCAGGACAGGTGCTTGGGCTCTGCCCACACCTTCCAGCCTCTTGCCCTGCCTCTCCCTCCCACTCAGAGCTCAAGGGGCTCCCTTTCCCCAGGGCTGCAATGGCTTTCTTCCTGTCCCCATTGTTCCCCAAAGCAGCGGGGGGAGGGCTGCCTGGGGAGGGAAGGGCCTCTGGCCTGGAGGTAATGATAATGACAGCGCCCAGTACTGTATTTCCTGAGCACTTCACACGTGCCACGAATGCGTTCCAAACCCCTGGGTGCTCATCCCCACTCATGGGGTAGGGGCCACATCCTCCCCATCCTGCAGATGAAGAAACAGAGGCCCAGAGAGGCACAGCCACCCGGAGTTGCAAGCTGGTGAGTGGCAGAGCCAGGTCCGAACCTGCAGCCCCAAGTCCCTGGCCACTCCCCGGCCCTGAGCTGTAATCTGCATCCCAGCCTCTCCCTGCCTGCGGTGGGCCAGGCTTCCTCTCCCACTGGGGCCCGGGAGCAGCAGCAAAGACCTGCGTCCACCTAGAGTTCTCTGCCATGGAAACCTGTGGCCTTAGTGCAGGCCTGGCCCAGGCGCTTGCACAGGGTGGGGGGAAGCCCAGTCCCTGCCCCTCCTCAGCTTGTCCAGGTCTTTGCAGCATGCTCTGCAGGGCTCCTTGGCCCTCTGCACTGTGTGAGGGGGGACAGAGGGACCCGAGCCCACTGGCCGGCTGGTGAGGTACGTGTGACAGGACAGTGAAGGGCTCAGGCCCGGGCATCACTGGCAGACGTCATGCGTGAGCCCCCGACCCCGATCCTAACAACCCCCCGCAGGGCAGTCAGACGTCCAGGACAGCGTGTCCCGCCTGTTCCTCCTGGGCGCTGACTCTTCACGCCTTCCCTGAGACTGTGAGTGCCTTCCGCCCGGCCACCACCGCACGACCTGGGTCTAAACGTCTTTGCTGGGACTTTGGAGTCTTCCGTAAGTCCAAGGTTAGGAGGGAAGAAACGTTTTGTCTTCTGGGAAAGACTCCAACCCCAAGAGCTGACGGCCCTGTGCACCTTGACCCGTCCGTTCTGGCTTCCTGGGTGCCCCACCTGTCAATTCTAGCGCTCTAGGTGCCTCCAACTGCCTCTGCTGGCCCATTTCACCGTTGGGAACCCCAGATGACAGAGGCAGCCTGAGACCACCTGGACGGCCCCTCTGTTTGCACTGTGAAGAGCTCACACCTGCTCACACCTGGTGAGCTTGTTTTCTGCAGTGGACCACCCCCCACTGATGCATCTCGGAGTGCTCAGGAGTACAAAGCCACGTCATGCCACACTCACAGACCGACAGAGCCCCTGCGACAGCTGCGGCGCCGACCTGCAGAGAACCCAAGGCCCTCCCACCGCAGCCCTTGCTACTCTCACCGGACTGACAGCCACGTTTACGTGAAACGGCTCTTGCTGCAACGGTGGGCAGAGGGTTCCACCTCCTCCTCCCCGACATTCAAACAGTGCCGGTTACATCCTCTCACGAGACAGCACGGCCTGGCTGCATCCCACACCCCTCAGCATTCCCCGTTCTGCCCGGAAAGGGCGCCATGTGGCTCTCGGGAGCAGAGTGGGCAGCTGCTTGCAGCGGTTTTGTAGCCCAGGTCATGGCCCACACCCTGTAAAAACCTCTGCTGCTTTTGCTTCCTGTGCCAAGTGCCAGATCACAGAAGAGTCACACCCAGCATGCACTTGGGACACTGGCAAAGCCAGGGCACCCCCAAATTTTAAAAAAGAATTTGGGATATGGAAGTCCTCAGAGCAGCAGGGTGGGGTGGGGCACTTCAATTAAGTCTAAGTGCCGGCGGGAGAGCTGGGAGGGTGGCGGGTGGATCATCCGTCCTGCCCCAGGCCTTTCTGCTGGTTGGTCACCCGACTGCACATATGGTCGATCATACAGGGACAGGAGAGGCCGGGGGTGACTCAGTCTAAGAGTCCACGCTGGAAGGAGACCGGCCTGTCCTTGAGCAGCACCGTGGCTGTGAACAGGTCTGAGCGGAGAAGCTGTCCCCAGCAAATGGTGGGACTAGAAGGCCCCCGACAGATGGCCAGCCGCGCTCACGCAGGCCGCTCGCCGGAGGAAGCTGGGACACGCAGTGGCCAGCGGTGGTTCCTCCACCTCTCTCCACAGCCAGCATGTGGCCTCAGGAGAGCCACCTTCCAGCAGGACGGGCCGGCTCCATGCACAGTCAGCACACACGCACGGGACTTCTCGGTTCACCCCCATTCTGGCCTGGCAGGCTCAACCTGGCGGCCTCAGCTGTCAATCTTCCCAAAGCCCACAGGGAACAGTTCCTTTAGTCCTGGGCACATTCACTAGATACTGAGCACACTTAGAGAAGTTGTCATAAAATAGCCCTGGGGGGGCAGTGTCACTACTGCTATTTCGCAGACAAAGAGCCTGGAACTCAGAGAGGTCTAGAGCTTGTCCAGGCCCCCCGGAACCCCCTTGCCCTCTCCGAGCCGTGCGCACCGCGAGTTGGTGCAGCAGGTCTGACCACAGCATCCTAGAAACACGAGTCCTCGGGAGAAAGTAACAGCCCAGGAAGTCGCCGCTCTGCCTCTGGGCCTGCAGCCTGCGCCGTGGGCTGTGGGTGCCGCACAGGCTGGGGAAGGCATCACACACCAGCTCTGTGTTGGGGGTGGGTGGCCCAGCCCCACTCCTGCCTCGCCGACCCACCCCCTTCTGACGGGGGGAGAGCAGCAGCAGGGGCTGGGGCACGGCGGGGCTGGGGGCGTCCTTGGCACCCAGGACGGCCAAGTCCAGCAGCCTCTGGGGGCCTGGCCCCCTAGCCCCTTACCATTGGTGTAGGGGTTCCCCGTCTTCTTGTTGGTCATGACTCGGGCTGTGGCATTATTGACCTGTCAGGAGAGGGTGACAGAGAATTAGCCTCCTGGAGGGCCAAGCAGCCACCCTGCCCCGCCCTGCCCTGCTCCCCCACAGCCCCCAGGCACCCAGGCTGCCGCCCACCCTCCTCTCTGAGCCGTGCTGCCTGCCTGCCAGCGAGCCTGGGCCCCATTGCTCCCAACGTTGGCTAATGCCACTGGGGCAGGACGTGGGCCCAGGCGTGCTGGCTGCGCTTTCCACGCAGCTGTTCCCATGAACAGCCTGGGTCTGGTGACCCAGGACCGCTTGAGAAGCTTACTGGTGGACTCCCCACAAAGTGCTCTTGGATCAGTTGACAGGCCAGTCCTCAAGATAGTCTCTCCTACCCTCTGCTTCCCATGTGGCTGCTGAGGCCCTCCTAGGCAGGGGCACCAAGACGGCCACTCCCTGTCCCAGGGGAGCACCCTTCCCGTGAGGCCAGAGTCCTCAATGCTCTGCACAGCAGAGTTCTCCACCGGCCCTGTGTGCCTGTGGGGCGGAGCTGACCAGAGGGGCTCTGGGCAGGCGCGTGAGCCCCCGTGAGGCTGGGCTGGGGCCAGCCTGGCATGGAAGGGACAGGCCCGTGCGGACGGGAGTGGAGGACAGGGCAGGGGGGCTGAGGAGGGTCTGGGCTGTACGGCCTCCCCCGCGTCCAGAGTGTGAGCCTGGAGGGCCTTGGGCTGCAGCCTGGCCAAGTCAGTGCCTTCAGAGCTCCTGCCGCTTCCAGAAACCTCCCTCCCAGGCCCTCTGCCCACTGGTCCCCTCCCTCTTCTGCCCACCCCTCTACTGCCCTCCTGGCGGGGACCCAGCCCCAGACACCCAGAGCTGCAGCAGGGGGACTTAGCCCACAGGCTCCCTAGGCCTCCGGGGCCAGGGAAGGGAGCGGGCGGAGGGGTGGCTGTTCGGGAGGAACCCCCTGCCTCCGTCCTGCTGCTCTTCTGGGCTGGGCCCCTTCTGTGCCCTGGCCATTGCAGTGCTGAGGAAGGGGCTCCTGCCCCGACATGGGCAGGGGTGGGGGAGGAGCAGGGCCTGGGCAGCTTGGGAAGGGGCAGGGGCAAGAGGTGGGGGGATTAATGGCTCCGCAGCAGAGCTAGCGTCCTCCCAACCGGGGGCACACTCGGCTGCCACAGTCCTAGAAGCTGCCAAGCCCCAAACATGCCCTACCTGGGGCTCCCTGGGTATCTGGTTGGGGACAGCCTCTTCCAGGCAGGGGAGGGAGGAGGCAGGGGCGGGGCAGGACCCTCTGGACACCCTGAAGCCTAGACCAGCAGGTGGCTCGGCCTGAAGCCAGCGGTGTGGGTGTGGGGTGCTCCTTCCTCCTGCCACCGGGGACCCCGGCCGGGCTCTGCACAGGGCCTGGCAGTGGAGGGCTGGGTGGGGCCGGGGCGGCAGGTGTCCTCGGGGCTCCCCTGCCACAGCACACTTATCTGAGCACCTCAATTTTCCGTCCCTCTACGATCGTCCCATTCAGCTTCTCCCGGGCTCGGTCAGCATCTGAGCTAGTTTCAAAAGTTACAAACCCAAAACCCTGTGAGCAGAGGAGAAGGACAGACACGGAGAGACACGGGATGAGAGAGGAGAAAGAGGAGGCGTGGGTGGGGGACGGGTGGGGAGAGAGAGAGGGGCTGAGTCAGTGAGTTGGAGCAGAGACGCAGGCGGCCCAGAGGTCTGTTCTGGCACCACCGGCAGGATGCATGGGGGGTGGACGGGCCCCAGGCAGGGGCAGCTGCTGGCCCGGCCCGAGCCCAGCCTGAGCCCAGCCCGAGCTGAACGCCTGGCCCCTCCAGGGGCACAGGCCAAAGCTACGTCAGAGACAATAACCTGGCCAGGGGCCAGGCCTGTCACCCTAACCCCACCTCAGGGTCAGGTGGGGGCCGAGGCTGGGCGTCAGGACCTTCGGGGGCAGCCCCGCCCACCTTCACCCTAGGAGCCATGGGGTGGGTCTTGCCGTCCTGCAGGGGCAGCAGGGCCCGTCTTTGCTGGGCACCTCCCCTCCCTGCAGCCCCTCCCCGGCCTGCGGGCCAGCTGCGCAGACAGGCTGGTGGCCCCAGGGGCGAGCAGTTCAGTGGGGTGGGGACCCAGGCCCAGGGGCCAGGGCTCTGGGGTGCAGGCAAGAGGTCCCGGCGGCTCAGAGACAAAAAGCAGCAGTGGCAGCAATGACACAGACAGCTGGGGGGGGGGGCGGGGGAGGGCGGAAGAGCGGGGAATACAAGCACCCGTGTCGCTCAGGGGTCCTCGGGCGCGAAGCTCTCCAGGAAGGAAACGCACATTTCACACGTTAGCCTGGCGGGACCTACAGCCGGCGCTGTAATGGTGGCAGCCTCCGTGCGGCACCCACCTTGGAGCCCCGCTCGTTAAAAATGATCTCCACGTCTAAAATTTTTCCGAATTGCTGCAGAGACAGAGACAGAGCGGGGTGGGGGAGACAGGAGAGGCTGGGTTAAGACTGCTGGCCCAGCTGCCGGCTCCACTCCTGGGACGCTCGTGTCTGTCCTCTGTCCCAGGGGCCCCAGGGACCCCCTCCCCGGCTCCTGCCACAGGAGGGGAGGGGCCCTTGGTTAGCCTGGCGGCAGGAACAGCCCCCCCACCTCCTTCCCCCGCGCCTTCTCCCTTGGGGAGCTTTTCCTACGGGCTCACTGGCCCCATGCGGGGCAGGGGACAAGGTGGATGCAGCGTCACCAGCGTCCCTTTCCGTTCTCTGCTGGGCTCGGCCACGGTGGGGAGGGGACGCCAAAGGCATTACAGCCACCCGCAATTCACACTAAAGGGTAAAGGTCTATGCAGAGGGGAGAGGGCGGGCGTGAGCCCTGGAAGGGACAAAGTGCTGTGGAGAAGGAACAAGCTGGGGCCGGGAGATGGGGTTGAGGCCCTGGAGATCAGGACCCCTGGCTGGAACCGGGACCCCCCAGGCCTCCCCCATCCCTGGGATGGGCAGGAGGAGGAGCCCTGCACTGCTGGCGGTCTGCACCTGCAAACCAGGTCCCCCAACAATGCCCTGAAGTTCCCCGGGCCCCGTCCTGAAGCCTCCTGGGCAGGTGACTGATGGGGGTCTCCCCTTCGCCTCCAGACATCCTAGGAGGTAGGGACAGGGGCAACGAGGCCCCACCTCTGCTGGGCACAGGAAGAGGGGGACGTGCCCCCCTCCTGCGGGGACCCGGTAAGCTGATGCATGTTGGTGCCCCATGTCCTGTGGGGACCCAGTGAGCGGAAGCACATCGAGAGCATTGGTCAGCCAGAGCCCGTAATGTCAGCTGTTTTCAGGGACCCCAGGCTCACAGGGTTTGGCAGCTCGCCCAGGCCAGGCCGAGAGGGGACGAGCCCTTATCTGGTGGTTCTGAGTTATGCCCCTCAGTGAGTCTAAGCTCCAGACCCAATGAGGCCCAGCCCCCAGGACGGGGAGTGGACTTCGGGGGTTCACGCTGGGGGTGGGTGCTGGGACTCGTCCACCCTGGGCTGCTCCAGAGGCACCTCTGGTTTGCTGCCAAATCCCTGGCGTGAGGGGGGCTGGAGTCAGGGGTCAGAGGCTGCCCAGCTGTGCAGCGAGGTGAGGTGGGCACAGCGGTGGCAAGAGGAAGGGAGGGAGGGGAGAGACACGCCAGGCCGTATGGGCCTCAGCGGCTGTGCCGTGCTCGCCGAGCCGCCTGGCACTGCCTGCTTGCCCACCTGAGCGGCAGCCCCAGCCCGCTGGTGTCAGCACCGCCAGATGCTTAAGCCCAATGACGGAATGAAGTAACCCGGCCCTGTGTGCTCTCGCAACACTGCGCTTGGCTGAAACCCCACAGTGCGAAATCTAGGAAGAAGCCCCGAGAGCCCCGCGAGGGAACTGTCCCCAGCGTGCCTCCCACAACCGCGCCTTTTCAGGATGCCCCACCCAGCAGCCCGGAGGACACAGGCCCGAGAGGTTGGGCGCACAGGAGAGGCCAGTCCGGGGCTGCTGCTGCATGAGGCCAGGAGGCCGGGCTGCCTCTGCAGCTGCCCTCCGACGGGCGGGTGGCAGGCGTCAGAACGTGGGACCGGGACAGTCATGACCAAACTGGCTGCTGGGCCCCAGGGGAGTCTCCGAAGCTCTGAGCACAGGGGTACGGGGGAGGGTGGGTGGGCAGATTCTGGGCAGGAGCGGCCACAGCAGACCCCTCAACCCCTCCTCCCCATCCAGCAGGTTCAGGTCGGAGTGGGCCGGGCCCGGGAGGGAAGGAAAGCCGGGACCCTGGCAGCTCCCGTGTGGCGGGAGGCAGGAACCCGGAGCAGGTGTGGGTAGAAGGGGCACGGTTCCAGAGGGCCCTGGCACACTCACCCCGAACATTTGCCGCAGGTCGGGGTCCCTGAACCGGAAGGGGATGTTGGAGACGTGCAGCCGCTTGGGCTGCTGCTTCTCTGTGGGGTCGGAGGGGTGCAGCGGCTGGCTGTCCGTCTGTGCCGCCTCGTCTGTCTGCTGCGGGAGAGGACCGGGCTGTGGAGGCTGCCACCAGGGTGCTGGGGCCTGCCCGTCCCCTCTGCCACAGGGAAGGGCATCTGGAGACCAGATTCCACCCCCGCCCCGGGCCCTTCCCATCCCTGGGCTGCCACCCTCGAGAGACTCTGGGCAGACGGTTCCCACGAGGGACAGCCCAGGAGCACCCAACCCCAGAGCTCCCACCTCCAAGCCTTTGCCCAGACTTTGCGGTGAGGCCACCTCCCTCCTGCCATCCCGAGCAAGGCCTCCTGGCCCCGTCTGCCCTCCCCTCCCTCAGCTCAGGCCTGTCCACAGCGGTCAGTCAGCCCTTGGTGGGCTCTCGGCCCATCCACTATCACGTTCGAGGAAGTTCTGGGGGCACCGGGCCGTTCTGGCTCTCGGCCTGAGGGTAAAGTGGGGACGGACTTCGGCCCCGCTGGGCACATCTCCGCAAGGTGTCGGCCCTTTGCAGCCTCCCTGCCACCCGCTGCAGCTCTTGCTTATTTTAGCCCCGCTGCTGCCACTCAGAAGCTTCGAGGGCCACCTCCAGGAGTCTCTTCCAAGGCACAGGCAGCCAAGTTCAGTCCTTCATAGTTAGTTCTCATTTGGACCCAAACGCGGGTGGGCAGATGGGCTCCGAAAAACTCGGGTCTCAGGATGCAAAGCTGCCCACGTACCATACCCCAGCCCCAGCTCCCCACGGGAAGGGGCCCACGGCGCCCGGAGGTAGTGCGGTGTGGTGTGTGTGTGCGAGGCTCTTCCCTCGCGGACTTCTCCCGCAGACGGGCCGCGAGCTCACGGCGAGGCTGGTCTTCAGTCTGGCTCAGTCCTGGCCGCACCCACGGAGGCAAAGGCAGACTGGGCTTCACCAGCGCTGGCCGGATGGGTGCACAGGCCAGTCGTGGAGGCACCTAAGTCGCAGGCCCCGCCCTGCGACTTGCTCTCCTGCTCAGCCTGCTGCAAGGTGGCACGAGAACGCGGGTGTCCAGGAGAGGCCCTCAGCGATGGCAGACACAGGCAGGCAGGTGGGCACACCAGCTCCTGCCGGAGGGTCCTCGGAGGGCATGCTCGCTGTCCCCACTTCCTCCAGTGGGGTCGGGCCCAGCTGCCCATGGGGACGACGGGCTGAGCATGCACCTGCCATCAGCTTCCTTTGCTGTCCTGTTCCACCCCCTGCTGCCCCTCGGGGTCCTGGCTCCAGCCAACTTGATCCACTGGAGCAGCCGTGCAGGAGGGTGGGGTCCCCGGGGGCCCCCACTGGAAACTCCGGTGTACTGTGGTCTCCTGTGTGGCCCACAGAGAACAGGCAGCTGGCCTGGGGACGAGGTCCCAGAGAGCCACTCCCACAGAGCTCCAGGAAGCGCCTGGTTGCTTAAGCCAGGTGCGGTAATGGTGGGTGTCTGTTGCCGGCGGCCAAGGGAGTAGTGACGTCACAAGCCCCTCAGATCAGGACGGAGTGGGGCGGCCTGCGGTCCCGTGCTGCCTGGAGCTTGCCCAAGGCCACATGACGGCTGCATGGCCAGACTGTCCCTGGACTCCTGTCTGAGTGAATTCCGGCTCTCCCTGCCCCCTCAACGGCCACCTTGGTCGTCCTTTCTGGAAGGACAGGCCACTCCCCACACTCCTGTGCTCAGCCAGGAGGTTCCGACCAGGCTCCAGGGCAGCAAGTGCCCTCAGGTGACCAGAGGGAAGTCACCACTTCCTGGGCTGCTGAGGGAGGTCGAGGACACAGCTGTCCCCATGTCCCAGCCTCTTCCCTGGTGGCATCACCTAGAACTCAGGCAGCAAGCTGGGAGTGGGGTCCAGAGGGAGCATCCTGTTCCAGTGTCCCTTAGACACAGCTCTGCTTTGCCGCGTGGGGCAGTGAGCACACGGCGCACACCCCGGGCATGGGAAACGTGCCACCTCCCGGCCTCCCTGGCGGGTCGGCATCCTGTGTGTGCTTGGCCCGATTCTGATGCGTGCGTGTCTCTGAGCCCTCTGTGTCCCCGAGGTGTGGGGCTCTGGGTGCACCCAGAGCCTCCCCAGGGTCCCCGACAGGCTCTCGGAGGAGCGGGAGCCCTCACGCTTGGCTAGCTGGGCCGCTGCTCCTGGGGTTTCCCCAGGGCCCCCGCAGGAGCCCACTGGCGGGAGCTGGGGCTCTGGCAGGGCCAGGATGGTGGACAATAGACCTCCAGGGACTCCCGGTCTGGCTTGCTCCAGGTCCCACAAGTGACAGGCCACAAGGGGCACCTGACAGCTCTACAGGGGCACGCTGGGGGCTCCCAGTTCTGCTGCCAGCCTCCTTGGCCCTGATCTTTCTTGCGGAAAGCAAGCCTGTGCCAGACGTCCAGAGGGGTCGACCTTAGCTTTGAAGCAAGGCTAAACCGTCCGAGCTGCAGCTGACTCTTACGCGGGCTGGAGCCCCATGCTCTGGCCACCACAGGTGTGGTGCTTTCCTCTTCAGTGGGATCCGTGCAATGGTCAGGGTGGGCACGGTGGCCTCATCGATTCTCCTCGCCGTGCGCTGTGCACTCCTGCACCCTGGGCTGCTCCTGGGCGCCCTGTCCGCTGGGGATCCAGCCTGGATGAGGCAATGCGGCGCCAGCAGAGGGCAGTGGTCAGCGTGGCCAGGCTGCTGATGGCGGGAAGCATCCCCCCAGGAGGCAGAGGGTCATGGCACGACCCCACGAGGCAGGGGTGTATGGGGCTTGGGCCCCCTTACTCCATCCCAAAGGCCCTAAAGAGGAGCAGCCACTGCCCCCACCGCGGCCCCCACCTCCGCCGGGGACAGGCAAGACACATGGGTACAATGACTGAAATTGTCTGATGTGCCGAGAAACCCCAGAGTGTAGCTGCACACTGGCTGCCCCCGAGGGGAGACCGAGGCCTTCCTGCCATTTATCACCGTGGTTCCGGCAGCCGCCACTGCCTTCCCCAGGGCCTTTCCGCTCCTTTTTAAATAGCAGTCTTTACTTCCAGTTCTCAAGTGCAGGGAACGAGGAGACAACACGGGCATCCCCCGGCCCTCCCCGCTGGTCCTGGTGGCTCTGCTTCTGCATCCTGGCCCAGCCACTGTTGACCCCCTGCCGCCCCGCCCCATTCAAGGCCAGGAGCCAGCTCCTGGTGGGTGGGCTAGGGGCAGGGTCTGGATGCCACCCAGTGCGACCCCCCATGGGGCCTGCACCCCCTCTCGCCTGGGCCTCCCCACGCTCAGCACAGAGAGGCCAAGAGAGCCGGCCCTGGGCAGGGGCGAGGGGGTCCAGGCAGATCCCAGGCAGCAGGCAGGACCCGGTGGTCCCGTCGCGGGGACGGAGCCGAGCTTTGCTGATGTGGCACAAGATGAACCGGCTCTTGGAAATCTCCTTCCTCTGCAGCCCACCCCCTTCTTCCAGAGACCTGGGCACTCACGCACTGACCCGCATCTGCTGCGACGGCTGCACGCAGCTTAGCCCCCCGTGGGAGCCAGTGAGCCTCGGAGGAGGGGTCCTCTGAGTGTGACCTCACATCGTCCATGGGGCCGGGGACACCGGGCAGCCCCTGCTGCGGTGGAGCTGTGGGCTCCCACTTGCCCTTGGTTTGAACGACGCACCATTCCAAGCCCCCGCTAGCTGCTGCTCTTGTGGTCAGGACCTGCCCCTGAGGGCAGCAAGTCCACCCAAATCAGTGTGAGCTCTGCTTCTGTGGGACGCCTGCGCCCAGGCCTTCGGAGGCCAGCGTCTAGCGGGACCCGTGGTCCCCAGAGCTACCAGGTTCTCCTCGCAGGGTCAGCTGTGCCACCGTTACTCAGGGGGCTTTGGCATCTCGCCTGGGTGGTGGAGGTGTCAGGAGGTGTCAGCCCTGAAGTGGCTGGAACATGGATTCCCACAAATTCCCAGCTGGAAATCCTCCTGAGGGAGGAGGAGAAGGAAGAGGCCCCGTGTTTCCAGAAATTCCAGGAAAGCCTCTCCTGAGCTGAAGCCCAGTGTTCAGTCTTCAGGGTGCCGGGGCTGGGGGGGCGGCTCCCATACAGACCAACAGCCCCAGGTCCGAGGACCACACAGGCTGTCTGTGTCAGCCCAGGCCGGGACACAGACGCCCTTCCAGAGGCCGGCTCCGTGGCGGCTCCCAGCGCGACAGGTGATGTGGGAGCTGGTGCAGCTCTCAGAGTCCCCCCTTCCAGCTGGCCCTGGCCGTGCCTCCCACCAGGGCAGCCTGGGCCCTCGCCAGCAGGAGGAAGTCCCCTCAGGAGAGAGGGCAGGAAGGCCCTGGTGCTCTGGGCAGCGTCTGGGCCCACGGACGGCCAGAGGGCTACAGGCCCTGACCCGGGAAGGTGTGGACCAGAGCTCTGAGCCCACCCTACCTCTCGATCCCAACACCAGGCTGTTCGGGGAAGGGCCAGGAAGTGGCTGGGGTGAGCTGCAAGAGCCCTCCCGGTGTCCACAGGACAGGCGTGGGGACGCCTGACGCAGCAGAGGTGTCGGCCTTCAGCTGTGAGTGCCGGAGGCCTCTCTGGGCTTAGAATTTCCTCTCCGGCTCCCTCCCAGGACGGGAAGGCTCTGCTCGAATAAACACAAGGTCAGAGCGATCAGGCCCCCAGAGGCAGTCAGGTCTTTGTGGGGCAGCTCCGCGTGCTCTCAAGGTCTCCCTGCAACTGCTGATCCGGTAACTTCCACCTGCAGCCCTGCGTGCGGCCCGGGTCACGGAGTAACCGTCTCCTCCCGCATCCCCGATGAAAGGTCTGCAACCTCCACCCTGACCCCTTGCAGGACCCAAGAGACCCAGCCCGAAGAAAGGAAGGGCAGGGCTGCCTGTCCATCCCCCGCTCCGGCGTCTCCGGGCACTCTCCTTGGTAGGCTCCTGGCCAGCGACCTGCGCAGGGAGACTTCACCCTGTGGGCTGGAATGTTCTCCTCTTCGGACACAGCACCGGCCTTCGCAGCAGCTGCTGCTCACTCCGGGCTCTCCCCAGGGCCAAGGACTCTCAGGCCTCGGGACAGCCCTCCCCGTCTGACTCGTCTGTCCATGACCGGTGGGAGCCAGAGGACAGGGCAGGGTTTCTTCTCCATCCTCCCAGTTCACACTCAGTGCCTGGCACGCGGGAGGTGCCCAGCAAGCGTCTGCTGAGCGAGGGCAGATGCTACATGTCCCGGTGGGTTGTGCCCGGTGCCCGCGGGGTGTCCGGGAGGTCTCTAGCTTGTCTCTGCTCAGTTATTGGCTGTGGGTCCCCACTCTGGGTCATCTGCGACTCTGACTGTCTTGTCTCCTGTGTTTCTTCCAGGATGAGCCCCGGGGCTCCCCGTGAGACCCCTCGTTTGCTCATGAGGAGGTTGTCAGAGATCCGACCAGACAGGCATTGTCCGTTGTGGCCCATCAGAAAGGGACAGGTCACTCTGCTGTGACTTGTTTACAGTGAACCTACTCTGCCTCCTGCGATCGCCTCTGTCTCTTCTGGGCACACACAGGCCTGGGTCTGGTGAATCAGAACCAGGGCAGCCCAGGAGTATGGTCTGGCCCCCAGTGCGACCACCCCACGGGCCTGGCCTTTTCCACGTGTGGCCGTGTGTGGCCGTGTGTGGCCTGCAGCTGCAGGAACATGGGCGGGGGATCTGCGGGAGACATTCTGTGTCAGGATGCTGGGGGGATGCAAAGGGCTGATGGGTGGGCACTTTCCACGGACAGCTCAGGTGACGCTGGAGGGAGCCCCGGCCCGTGTACGGCGGGCAGGGTAATATTTGGATCCACGCAGCATCTCGGGAGCCAGGCTGGACTAGGGAGGGCCGAGGGAGCATAGTTCGGAGGGGCCCCCGGGGGAGGCCGCCAGGGCGGTGCCAATCCCGGGCAGTGCAGACAGTGCTGGCCTCCTGCCCGGCCCCGCCAGCCAGCGCAGCCAGAGCGGGGCGGGGGAGGCACACGGGGCAGTGGAGAGGGCCAGGGAGGGGCCGGAGCAGGCGGGGGCTGGGGGCCGGGGCAGGGGCAGGGCAGTGCCGCCACCTGGTCTCTGTCCCAGGGGTGGGGCGGGGGGGCCACCCCAGGCCGGCCACTCAGGGCCAACTCCCTCTGCTGTCAGGAAATCTGAGAAGTGCGGAGCTCAGCACTTTGGCCGGGAGCTGCATGACAACCACATAATTGAAGCTATCTGATTGGAGGGCAGCCAAGCAGGTCGATTACAAGTGATTAGAAATGATAGTGGCCTGCAACCCCAGATGGGCCTGGGCCGCCTGCCTCCTGCCACACCCCCGCCTCTGGCCTCTGTTTCCCTGGCTCTCCATTAACAGGTCGCTGTGCGAGGACACGCTTTCCACCTCCCAGACCAGCTGACAGCCTGCCCTGCAGCCTGGAGGAGGCAGCCGCTGCCCCACCCCTGGGTGCCCGGCGGTCCCTCCGTGGCTCCCTGGTGCGGGAGGATGAGGGGCTCCAGGGCACGGGCTGGGGGTGCTTTTGCTAAGGTCACCCCTTCCTTTCCTGAGCGCACGCAGGTTGTCCTGGGCCTGGAGTCCTGCTGTGAGGACAATCTCTCCACACCCAGAGCCCCGCCAGCCCCCACCCACGCGCCTTCCGCGCGCCCTCCTGGGCTGGGCCCGGGCTCGCGGGCCCCTTACCGGCACTGTCTGGGTCCCGGCGATGGGCTGTGTGCTGGCCTCGGTGCCCGGCTGCTCAGGGTGGGTCTGTGCTGGTGTGTACAGGGTCATGCCGTGCTCCGGGGGCACCGGGGTCTGGCCGGGGTAGTCCTGCGTGGGGTGTGGCGGGGGTGGGGCGTACTCGGCGGGGATGCCATTCTGTCCGTACTGGGCGGGGGGGTAGGGCTGGGCCATCGCTTCAGGCGGAGCCGTGGCGTCCTGATCGCTCTGTGGAGGGAGAGAGAGCGAGGCCTAGTTAGGATCTGGTCTCTCCCTGGAGCCCGTGAGGAACTGTGCCTTTCAGCCAGGCAGAGGTTTTCCAGAAGCCTCTGTGGTGCGGATGCCATACCGTATGTTCAGTGGCATCTTCCAGGCCCCACGTGCGGCGGTGCCACGGCAGAGACACCGGCTCAGCCAGGTCTGGGTGAGACGCCGCTTCCTCAGACTCTTCAGACCCGAGGACAGAACTTAAGGCTTTTTTTTTTTAAACCTACCTAATTTTTAAAAATTAATCATCTTATTTTGAGATAACCGTAGACTCGCATGCCGTTGTAAGAAGTGACACAGAGCGACCTGTGCACCTTCCACCAGTCCCCAGCAGGGACATCTTATACAACCATCGCCTCCAGGGTGCTGACGCCGGTCCAGCCAGGACACGGGACGTTCCGCAGCACGAGGGTCCTGCCCTCCACCCCGCCGCGGCCGGCCCACCCCTCCCAGCCCGGCAAGGTCTTCGCGGCTTGGTTGGCTCTTTGGGAAGCAGGGTGGAGAAGCTGCCAGCCTGCAGCCGGGATGCTGGAGGTGGCGGTACTGTGAGGTGTGTCTGTGAGGCCCGGAAGGTTCTGGCCTCTGCCTCAAGGCTCCCTGAAATGTCCCAAAGATCT